CCCAGATCCAGAACATTCGCTTGCGCCTCATTGGCGCGATTCTAGCCTGAACTTAAGGATCAGAAAGAGTGTTCCGAAGGTTCATGACTACATGGATCATGCCATATCATGCCCTTCAAATACAGTGCCCAAAATTGAAAACCTTCAAGCAAATCCTAGGTGCAGCAACGTGGAGTGAAAGCCACGGTGTCCATCATCAAGCAACTCATTGATGGTGTCGCTAACGATACACAAAAGCTGTTGGTGGTCGATTTGCTGCCCTCCAGGCACATCCAGTGAACCAAATCGCATTTAGCGTGTGTTGCCATGTCAGCCCACGGTGTCCCAAGCAACCCAAATTAAACAAAGTCATTGAAACATTGCTTATTAAGCTTATGGCAGGTTTGCTGAGTGGTCGCTGGCATGCTGGGAGATGCAGCAGGCCTACTTGTTGGAAGAGGACACTGTGGATGTCAGGTTTATGGGGGTCTACCACGATGACAATGCGAAGGAGCTCACCGCCTCTGTGGATCTTTTGGCTGGCAAAGCTTTGGCTGGCTTCTGGGACAGATGCGAGAAAGCTGGTCCCAAAAGTCGATCCGCAAGCGGCTTTCACCAGGAGCTTCCAAGCTTGGAATGCTTGTCAGTGGTGGATGGGGAGATCAAGCTCTTTGAATGAATTAGTGCCACATCAGGATCATAGTATCGGTATACTTGAAATCTATTGTGTGATATGCATGTGTGGATGCAGTTGTGTGGATGCCACTATGTTTGTGTTTCCGTTTTATGCGCATGTCTGTATGTAGGTCGGTAGGCAAGTGTGCAGGTATGTCTTATGGAAGCGTCTATGGAACTATGTTATGCATGTGCTGGCGGTTTGATTCGAGGATTCGTTGTGAATGAGATTGCATGAATCTAAGGATCCCTGATTTGATACAACAGAAGTATGCTGGGCAAGCAGGATTGAAGGAGGCCATGTCCAAGCTCGATGACCATGCAGATTTGTCCACGGCCTTGAGATCGCATCATTTGGGAACTGCCAGTCCTGCAGCTTCTACCTCTGCTTCAGCCCCAGAGAACCAGACTCGGACCTTGGCTTCGCCAGAGTGGGGCACCAATCCGCCCATCAACATCCGCAGGAAACTGGCCTTGACTCCCTTGCCTACCAGTGGCTTTGAGAGTTCTACAGAGTCACTGAGATTTGCTCAGTTCACAGTTCTACATTCATTTTGAATCCCTTTGTTCTTTTCTGTCTCCTTTGTGTCGTTTTCAAGTTCAAATAAAAACGAAAACAAGAAACATGTCAATCTCAGTGGACTGGGTTTGCTCACACATTCAGGACCATTGCCTCGGCTGACCTCGCACGGGTGCAAGGTGTCAAGATTTGCGTTGGCAAGGACAATTCGGTGTGGCTGCACAATGTGGGCAGCCGTGAAGTGGACATCCCTGCCGGGGAACTGTTCGGATTTAACACAGGAAGCTTTTCAGAGGTTCCCTCAGGACTGTAGTGGCCAAAAGTCATTCCACATCGACTGTAAAGCTAGCGCTAACCGTGCATGTAAAAGCGTCAAGGAGAAGGAGACTGTGTTGATGGCCATTTACCCTGGATCATCAAGGATGACCGAACGCTGCTAGCTTTGGACAAGCACCTGCACACCGTGGCAGACATCTTTTGTGACGTGGCCAAGCATCGAGGTGTCACTGAAGTAAGGGTGGTGGACCACAGCTTGAGACCACAGGCGTGATGCAATTGCAGTGAAACTAAAGATACTAAAGTGACAAATGCTGTCAACATATGTCAACGCTAAATGCAACAAACATGGGTTGGTTCCAACTTTTGCGAAGGTCTCGGAGGAAGGAAACAACCGCATGTTGCAGTACCGCTACACCGTGTCTTGCAACCCCATGGTCAATGCCTTCGTCGCGAAGGACTTGGGAAATGACACAGAGAGGATCAACATGCGGGCAGCGCAATTGGGGGCTGTCTATCGCTCCAAGTTCTCACAGCTTCCGCGAGGAAGCAACGCGTGTATCGTTTGGGAGGTGCAACGGTTACAAAAAATCATCATCTAGATAATGTATATTACTATTTGACCATTAGGGTTTTTGTGATGACCTCATGCTGTCCAACAACTGAGTGCCCCTTGCCGAATCTCGCTTTGCCATTGTTCTGCCTCAGGCAAAGGTGGATGAAAGCGTTCCAGCAGTCTTGACACCGATCAAACCGAAATACTACTTGCTTGGAACTGTCTCTTTGAAGGCAGGCTTTGCAGTCTCACTCAAGTAGGAAGGGGCATCCTTTCACCAGAAGTGTACTAGCTCTTGGGTGGATGGCGGACTTAAATCCTTAGCCTATCCTATAGCTATTTTGATGCACACCTTGTCTGGTGGCTTTTGCTGGGGCTGGGATGAACCCGTGCCTGATCTTGGACCAGGGAAAGATCAACTCGCGAGCAACTCGGAAAATCGGCGAAGATCAACTAGGGGTCCGTGCTTGGCTGTCTGTCTTCCTGCGCGGAGGGTGATTCGCAGGCACACAGCATACGACATGACCACGCATCGGTTTTTGTTTGTTTCTGGAGTTCGCTTGCTCAAAACGAACTCCAACAATACCTAGTGAATGGCAGGGTAT